GAAAGAGAGAGAGAGAGAGAGAGAGAGAGAGAGAGAGAGAGAGGACAGACCTTGGCTCCAAATGCTAAATACCTATTCTCTCCCTATCCAGAAGAAACATGAGAAGGGCATAATGCTTACTTTTGGCTGGTTAAACAGCTAAGAAAGGGTATGAAAACTGATTATGGGTTCATCATTCTGTTGAGGGTTCAATAACCCTAGAGGTCAAATGGAAATGTCTAATAGATGGGGGCTACTGTGAGCCCATCAAGAATGTCTTATGAACTTTAGACAGTTTAATTCTTTCCAGACACAAGTAAAGGAATTCCTTTCCTGTCTACATTTGAGAGTTTGATCTTTACAAGGGTATCCCAATACTGCCACCTGATACCCCAAATTCAGCTGTAATAAGATAGATCACTCATTGCTCCAATCACAAAATGGGCAGGGTTACCTTTGAAGAGGGAGGTAGGATAAGAACTGGAGGTAGAAATTGACTAGGGAGTTTAGGGTAAAAAGACCCCAACGAAAATTAACCAGTTACTTTCTTGACTAAAAGCCAGAAGAGTCACAGGGACTGTTAGCAGTTTCATCATTGCCAGAGGCAAAAACGTCTGTGGTGATAACTTGTTTGTACAAATAAAGCATGTCTGAAGATCAGAGGGTAGAAGTTGCCACTAGCTAACCATAGAGGTCAGGCAATGGTGGTTGGTACATGCCTTTACTCCCAGCACTAGGGAGGTGGAGACAGGAATTGAGATGGCAGGGTGGAGAAAGGAATATAGGCTGGAGGAAACAGAAACTTACACTCTTTTCAGCTGGGAAATTTGGGAAATAAGGTGTGGCTGTGGCTTGCTCCTTCATGTCTCTGATCTTTCAGGTTTTACCCCTATATATGACTCTGGGATTTTATTATTAAGATCTAATAAAACTTGTGTTACAGATGTCAAAACTATTTGGGGAGTTCTGGTCTCTGAAGCTAAGTGATCATAGGTGCTAAAAGGAGGAAAGTTAAATGTAGTAAAGGCCTGTTAAGAGGAAAACATCCCATGGTCAAGAGAATAGAATCTCTGTCTGATGTGGGATAATGATCTTGTACGTTGTAAAGAGTTGTCAATCATTCTGGTTTAATAAAATGCTGATTGGCCAGTAGCCAGGCAGGAATTATCGGCGGGGCTACCAGACTAGGAGAATTCTGGGAAGAGGAAAGGCAAAAAAAAGCAGTCTTAAACCAGATGGAGAGGAAGCAAGATGAGAATGCCTAACTGAGAAAAGGTACCAAGCCATGTGGCTAAACATAGATAAGAATTATGGGTTAATTTAAGATATAAGTGCTAGTTAGTAATAAGCCAGAGCTACAGGCAAAACAGTTTATAATTAATATAAGCCTCTGTTTATTTGGGAATGAACAGTTGTGGGACTAGGCAGGACAGAAACTTCAGTCATCTGTCCTGGGCACAGCCATAACATTTCAATAGGGACATATCAATCTCCTAGTAAAGGAACCTAGTCTATGGAGCCCAAGAAACAGCTACTTGGGACAGTTATAGATCACCTATAACAGATTAACTGATTGCACATTGGTAATACCAACTGAGACAAAACTGGAAAAATTTAAGGTTCCTTCCCATCCCTCACTTTCTGTACTGTGAACAGCTTGAATGTGTGGACAATTAATTCACATTCATACACAAGAGCTTCTGCATAGCCACTCCCCAATAAATGCCTGGACTGCATTAGGACACTCATTCTCCTGTCTCTTCTTCTTTCTCAATGACCAGTTAAGGCCCAGCCTGTAATGACTGGCATACTTGGATGTGAAGGCAGGAAAGAGAAGGTGGAACTATAATCTCCCCCAAAATTGTTAAAAGTAGAAATAGGCTTTATTGCTATGTGCTACAGAGACTAGGGATTTGTATTACAGCACACCAAGACCATTTCTTTCATGCAGTACAAATCTTAAACCTTGAAAATAATAGCCCTGTTAGGCAGGGACACACATGTTATCCAGATCTTCTATTTTGGCTGAACTAGAGTAACTACAATAATTTGGTTTCACAAAAATTCAGTTCTTTATCCAGATTCTTGCTTGCCAGGTCTGTGGGCACTCAGGACACTTACTGATCATCTAAGATTGATTAATTAAGTACTCATTGCTAATGTGAACTACTGTCACAGCAGGAAAACTTTCACCCTCATTCTTTTCCACCCCTTTCTCTGCTGTAACTATACATTCTTTAATGTTGGTCAGTGAACTCAATTATCATACAGGTTCCTTTTCATTTATACATTCCAAATAAAAGCCAGAGAGATTGAAGGACTCTCATTCACTGGCACAATTTTCCTTCTCACTGACCACTCAAGGCCCAGAGTAGGAGTGCCAAGACTTGTCTTCCTAGCCCTGGTTTCAGGAATTAATCACTATGCTTTACATAGTCACAGAAAAGAGTTAGCTTACACTTCTCAGCATATCCTCAACATAAATAAAATTATTTGCTCTACAAAACATGGTTAAATGTCTTTAAATAAAACTATAGTAAGAACTTCTAAAACAAGAAACTCAATGTATTATTCTTAACTTTTATTAATGTCTTCAATTTGTGCATCATTTACAATGAGACATGTGCTGTAAAAAGCATTCTTATACATAAATAGAGAAAGGAACATTTAAGTAAGCCCTAAAACATGCACATAAATTTTATTTGGGTGCACATAAGAAAAGGAAATAAATTTTAAGCCTTCAATTTATTACTTGGGAATGTCAAAATTTTTTTGAGAATGAATGTATTTACTAATAGGAAATAATTATATAATTATAATGAATTGGTGCTCATAGAAATGTCTGGAACTAACATTGTGCTATGACTGATGAACAAAAGATTTCCTATGAGCATTAGGTATGTCAACTAAATGAAACAGGTAGCATGAATGTGGAAGAAGAGGTACCAAGATTCTGATTATAGGTCATATACAGACATATTCAAGGCACATGACTAGGCTAAACAGTTGGCTGAGTTCAAAACACTAATTTATTGTTTTCATTGAGTAAAGAATAAAATGTAATATCACTTATATTTAATCTCACCAATGGATAAATAAATGCAATTACATCTAGGGCAAAAATATCTTGATTTCAGATAGCCACCAACTACTAAATAACTGAAGCCAGAGTAGATGAAGCAGCATTACATTCAGATTTTCTTATTCTACAGTAAATGTATGTTAAGATATTTTGTATTATTTCTATATAATTATACTGTCTATTCTCGTTCATGTTTTACAATTACTCAAAATTAGGCAGATAAAAGAATTTAATAAATCATAAAGAAAGATCAAACTATTAGTCAACAGAAGTTAAATCCAAATCCTGGAGTTGACTTCTGACTGTATTCAGTTTGGCTTTTCCCAGAATGGAAAAAAAAACCTTCCCATATAACTGCATTTTGTGAGGCTAAAATGCTTACAATTTTACTGAGGCTCACTTCTTTTTCTTTGATAAACCAGAGGTATTTGTCTCCCCTACCCTCTGTTACATATTTTATTAACACATTTCTCAAAATTTTGCCCAGAAGAAAAAATAATATGTAAAACCCATAATCTTCAATGTACTTAATTCACCTTCTCAATTCAACTTTGTAATGGAGAAACAGAAGGTATTAAACTATCTGGAGTATGAATAAATAATTCACTGACCTTTAAGAAAGTAAATACTGGGAGGACAGGTATAATTCTTGTGCTTCTAATGAGCTAGCAAAATGCTTCCACCTTAATGAAATAAAAATGATAAATACATTACCTGTATGGGCTCCTGGATATAAGCAGCACCAACAATTTATTACAATTCCCAAAATTATCTATGTTATTTTGAAGCACCCAAAACTCTCCCATAACAAAAGAGACTAAAATGAGATGTTAGCAATACAATCTGTCTCCCAATAATTTTGTGTGAACATACAAAATTCCCAGACAGTTTTAGCAGACAGGTTGTAAGAATGGTGGTTTCCACCTTGGCAAAAGCTTTGTGTGTTAAAAACAAAAATGTCTTTCTAAGTAGAAGGTTCTACTTTAAAAAAAAAGAAATAAATGCCACTTTGAAGACACTCCTGTAAATATTGGTTCAATGTGAAGTTCATTAAAATAAACTATATGTCAGGGCAAAGATAAATCTAGAGGTATATAATACTATTAAAACAAGAAAAAGTGAAAAGAAGATTAAAGAAACTGGCAGATACTTTCTGAGAGTAGTAAAAAGCATGAGTCACATGGATTGACTTTATCTCCTTTCACTTTCACACCCTTGGTTAACTTTTTCTTTCTTATTTCTTCACACAGCTTGGCCATGTAAACCCACCACAGAGAGGTGACACAATGATATAGATGAACACCTGGAAGACAAAAGAAGGCAATTTTATTACGTGACTCTATCACAAGGTTCACAGAACACAATATTAAAGAAACACTACCAGTACTAGGAGAGTAATAGCTCTTCACTAATGTAACCAATAATGAAACTTATCAATAATACGTATTGTTTGTGAGGAATGGTTTTATTATTTCCAGTAATAAAAAATGTTAGCTTCTAAGATATGATGGGATGTACAGTTTCAGAGTTCATTAACAACTGTCACAGAGGTGTATGCATACACTGAGCTTCAATCATGAGTCTGGATCAATGCTAAAACACATAGCATATATATAGCTAACAAATATTCAATAAATGAAATCACATATTAATTCCTATATAATTCTGTGTATAAACGAAACTGGTTGAAAATTTTACATAATAAAAGTGTGTGTGTGCCGGGCAGTGGTGGCGCACACCTTTAGTCTCAACACTTGGGAGGCAGAGGAAGGCAGATCTCTATGAGTTCGAGGCCAGCCTGTTCTACAGAACGAGTTCCAGGACAGCCTCCAAAACAATACAGAGAAACCCTGTCTCAAAAAACAAAACAAAACAAGTGAGTGTATGCATACCTGTGAATGTATATGCAGAAGCCACAGTACCTCCAGTGTCTTCCTCTACTGCTTTCCTATATATTTTTTAAGACCAGGTCTCTCACTGAACATGGAGCTCACCTTTTTATCTAGTCTGTCTAGCCAACAAGCTACCAGGATCTACATGTCTATACCACACAGGCTAGGGTTACAGGCACGCACAGATACTAGGTGCGTGTTGAAGATTTGGACCCAGGTCCTCTTGCTTACAGAACAAGTGATTTTAAACACTGAGCCATGTCCTTGACCACAGTTTTATATATCTCATTATATACAAAAATTCTCAAAAGGAAAAAAGGAGTTTAAATGGAGATGGTACTTAATGCTGATTTCACAAGGTATTTCATAATCATATGTTTTACAATTTAAAAGATGAATGTAGCCCATTTCAGAATATCAATCAATAAAAATGCCATCACCTAATATCTTAGAGTGAAAATAGGCTCATATACTAAAGAGACAAAAACTTACAATTGATACAATGATGATGATGATAGTAAGCTTGATATTCTTCATACACATGGCTCGAGCAAGATTTCTGCTGGTAGTTTTGAAAGTTACAGACTAGAAAACAATCATAAGTTGCTTTATTCTTGGCACTGGCTATATGAATGATTCATAGTAACAACCTGCAAGTTTTTATTTTAATCAATTATCTTACTTTCATGGTTCTAGGATGGAACCCAGAGCCCAGACCATGGCAGACAAACACTCTACTACTGAGCCATACTTATACTAATTCTATTCAAATTCAAATGCCCCCCTTTTCCTTTATTCTCTTTTCAAACAGACTGGTTATTCAGAATCAGTAGTTAGCTAGAACAGAGTTCTTTGAAACCTATAATAAGCAATATGAACTTACTGGCAAGGTTTCACTTCTTTTCCTTCTCTATGTAGCAATGACATAGTGTTGAATGAACAAGTAATACTTTAGGGGAAAACATTTTCCAATTTAAATTTTTTATAAGAAAGACTCACTCTGCAGGCATATTTGTTTATTCTATCCAATATGATCTTTGGGTTTTGAAACATACACATAAATCTGTGTGATTTTCCTAGGAACATATGTATTTACTTGTTAACTGTCAAAACCCCACAGGATCACATTTCTTCAGTTATCCATTTTCTTTTGCATCATAATATTCTTAGTATATATTAAAAGATTTCATCAGGATACAAGCAGTTTAAAACAAATAGGTAAATAAATAACAAAATGTACTAATTACCCAGAAATTCTACTCCTAAGTAATTATACAAAAGAGATATATGTGAAAGTTCAATAAAAATATTTGAGATATTTTTCATACCTAGAAATGGAAACTACTAAAATATCTATAAACCACGATGAAATATTATATAGTAATTTAAAAATTTACTAATATATTTATGTAGCCAATCTACATATCATGGATTAATGTCAGAATTTTGAAAGAAAAAGAGTAAATGTTATAGCTTCTTTTTATATGGAGACATGGTCATATGTAGTAGTACTGGCTAGTCTTGAACCTGCTATGAAGCTAAGGACACTAAACTACTAATCTTTCTGGATATACTTCCAAAGTGAGGTATGTAGCACCTTGCCTAGTTTAGGTGGTTGTACTGACTAATTTTTAGATCAACTTGATACAAGCCAGAGATATCTGAGAGAAGGGAACCTCAACGGAGAAAATGCCTCCATAAGATTGTGCTGTAATACTGGGCATTGGTGGTGCATGCCTTTAATCCCAGCACCTGGGAGCCATAGGCAGAGGCAGGCAGATCTCTGTGAGTTCAAGGCCAGCCTGGTCTACAGAGCGAGTGCCAGGATAGGCTCCAAAGCTACAGAGAGAAACCCTGTCTCAAAAAACAAACAACAACAACAACAAAAAAAAACACTGTGCTGTAGGCAAGCATGTAGGGCATTTTCTTAATTAGTGATTGATATGGAAAGGCCAATTCCATTGAAGGTGGTGCCACTTTTTGGCTGGTGGTCCTAGGTTCTATAAAAAAAATCAGGGTGGGCAAGCTACAAGGAGCAAGCCAGTAAAAAGCAATCCATCATGGCCTCTGCATCAGCTCTGCTTCAAGATTTTTGCCATTTCAGTTACTGCCCTGACATTCTTCAACGAACAGTAAAGTGCCATTGTAAAGTAAAACTAAACCCTTTCCTCCCCAAGTTGGTTATGGTCATGGTGTTTCATCACAGCAATAGTAAACCTAAGACAGACATGATGGAGATTAAGCCAAGTGCTTTGTGCACACTAAGCAAGCACTCTATCAATCCAGCTACAGCCCCAGTCCAATAGCTTTTATAATATATGGGGATAAGTCAGGACAGAGATGATCTTTCAAAGGGAGTAGTCAGTCAGTAGAAGAGCAGAGAAAGGCACCTCTGAGTTTTGATCATACTCTAATTCTTAATTTGCATGTTGGCTCAATGCATGTATTTGCATACATTAGTAAATCATTACAGGCTGTACACTTAGAGTTAATACACTTTTCAATATGTCTGCTACATTTCAATTAACTGCTTTCTCTACAAAGGCTCCATCGTGCAGCAGGTAACAAGGTATCAGCCTGGGTTTCATTTAGTGCAGAGTGGGAAGGATGCCATGCACAAAGCCAATTTCTACATGAGTATATATCACATGCCCAAACTAAGTACATTAAGCCCCGAACATTCATGCCATAAGTAAGTGCACTGAGTAGAGTATATGAGAAGGCACTACAAAAGTAAAATAGTTAAATGATCAGAGAAAATGATCCTTAACTGAAAAAAGTTAATATATATTATAAGATAATAATAATGCTAATAATTATATCAGTCAGACTTTTACAATAATGTGTGCACAGACCCAAGATGATCATCCTAAAGGTAGAAATATTTTTTTCAGCACATGATTTCAGAGGGCTCAGTCCAGTCAGTTGGTCCTCTGCTTTGCCAGAACAATATGGGGATGGCAATGTGTGTGAAAGAGTCCTTACCTCATGGCGAAAATAGATAAAGGGAGGCTGGAAAGATCTAATGACAAGACAACCCCAAGAACCATCATCCACTGGCATATACTTCCTTGTACATACCTTTAATTCCAGCATTCAAGACACAGTGGTTTAGGAATCTCTGGGTTTGAGGCCAGCCTGGTCTATATGGCCAATTTCAAGCCAGCCAGGGTTACATATAAGACAGGTGTCAGCTACTATATGTGTGCTGAGAACTAAACCTAGGACCTCTGCAATAGCAGTAAGTATTCTTAACTGCTGAGCCATCTCTCAAGCCCTACATAGGAAAAGTTAAGAGTAAAGAACTATGATAAAACATTCCAAATTGATGGCCTAAAACAGAGCAATGGAAATTGTCCCTCAGTGCATTTCCACAAATAAATAGAGAGAAATTTTCTATTAGAATCTTATCTGTTCATGTTAACAGGTAAAGAATAAGTGTTCCTATTTGTATGCATAAAAAGGCTCCAAGTAGGTTACCATATTTTAAACTGGATAAATCACATTACTCAAGAGTTTTCTCTCCATGTACTTTTGGGACCTGTTTGCTATGGCAGTTTCCCTTCCTGGACATGGAAAAGAATATTCTTATTTATTGGCACTCTGCATATGTATTATATATTTGGTCTTTTGGGGGACTCAATAGTGGGAGCAGGGGCTGTCTCTGATTCTTTTGCCTGCTTTTGGGACTCTTCTTCCTACTGAGTTGATTCATCCAGCTTTAATATGAGGGAGGTGCCTAGTCAATTGAAACTTGATATGCCATATTTGGTTCATATCCCTGGGAGGCATGCCCTTTTCTGAAGTGAAAAGAGGAGTGGATTGGGGGAGAAGGGAGGTAGGAAGGAAGTGACTGGAAGGAGGGGCTGGAGGGGAAACTAAGGTCAGGATGTAATATATGAGAGAAGAATAAATAAAAAAATATTTTCTATCACTCCCACTATAGATAATGATACAGATGTGTATATGTGTGTGCATGTCCATGAAAACATACATATGTACATGTAGCTTGGAGAACACATAAATGTATAAAAATTTTTTAAATTAATTTTTTAAAAAGATTCTGATTTAAACAAATAACATTCTTCACTGTTAAGAAGTTGTGGGATACCAGGTTATTGAGTATGATTTTCTAAACTATTATTCAAATGTTTACATGGAAAAATAACTTTGTAATGCTTAAAATGGTGGTCTATTCAGCTATACATACTAAGAATTCAAGTACAAGCATGCAAGTAAATTTACAGGTACAGAGGATCCATGTTAACAACAGTAAAGGCAGCTATGTTGAAACACCAAAAATCTGAATGGCTCTGACACACTCAAATATTATCTTAAGTATCTGGTGAAATCACAAAGCAACTCGATAGTCTTGCTACACTACTAAACACTAAAGTAACATGTTTTAGTTGATCTCAATTTTTAAACTCTTAAGAAAAACATTGAAGTATTTCAACTTTTAAAATAAAAATATTTAATTTACAGAGTAGGAATTTTTTCCAGATTCCAGTGGTATCTAATAGCACCTTTAGGCAAGTATGCCAATTAAAAAAATGTATAATTCTTAAGAATAGCAGATGCTGATACTCCTCAAAAAGAGGCAATTGTGGCTAAAAAAAACTCTCTATATCTTAGTTACTCAGAAGCAATTCTGTTGTGGTCCTTACATAACATGGTTTTGAAGACAAGGCTTCTATTACTACATTCCTATCAAGTACCATAGCACATATTTTTTGGAGGACATTTATTTATCTGTTTATCTCTCTATCTATTTGTGTGTGTGTGTGTGTGTGTGTGTGTGTGTGTGTGTGTGCGCGCGCGCGCGCGCGCGCGCGCACGCACACACGCGCGCGCATGTCTAGTAGAAAATGGTGTCAGTGGCCATGTCAGAGCAGCCGCAGTCAGCCATGGAGCTTATAGAATACAGCTCATCAGAGAGCAAAGCTATGATGGGCTTCTGGAGGGGCAAAACCCAGAGGAGATTGTCTCCAGAATGCCCTTTGCTTTTACTGTGCTTTCTCCTGCTTGCTGCTGTCATGTTCCTGTTGTATTTGGCATGGTGTGATTACTATGTGGAAGGATACCACACATTTAGGATAGTGATTGGGAAATTCAATTGCAGATCATAATGATGATTTTTATTAAGGAAATGATACTTAAGCTGGATCAATAATTTAAAGATATAGGTGGTTAGGTCAGTTAGTAAAGATGATTAGGGAAATGGTTTAGGTTATTCTGCAAATTGCTCCAATAAGAGATACAAACAAGGGCTAGAAGTCAACTTCCCCTTTGTTAGATGTGAGATTCACGGAGGTTGAAAAATGAGAACAAAAAAGTTTCATGCATTATAGACCCATGAATTGTGCCTGTGGGAAAACAGGCTGAAGATTAAAGAAAACAATTATGCCCCCTCTATCCAAGATTAGGCCTGAGTTCCTTGGTCATGTAGTTTACAGAATTAATAACAGGCCCTGGTATGCGCCTTGAAAAAACAAAGTTGTGAAAGGAAATCAAATGACTCTGTTGTGTATAAAGAAAAATATATGGTTAGCTAGACCACTTGTTTAAGGTTTTGTAGAGTAGAA